AGCGGTGGTGGTAGTGGGGGTTGTAGTGGTGGTGGTAGTGGTGGTAGTCGTGGTGGTGGTAGAGGTAGTGGTGGCTGTAGTGGTGGTGATGGTAGTGGTAATAGTGGTAGTGGTAGTAGTGGTGGTGATAGTAGTGGTAATAGTGGTGGTGGTAGTGGTAGTAGTGGTGGTGATGGTGTGGTAGTGGTGGTGGTAGTGGCAGTAGTGGTAGGTGGTGGTGTAGTCGGTGGTAGGTAGTGGTGGTGGTGGTGGTAGTGGTAATAGTGGTGGTGGTAATGGTAATTGGTAGTATGGTAATAGTGGCGGTATTGTTGGTATTGGTTGTGGTGGTGGTAGGTAATAGTGGTGGTGGTAATGGTAAGTGGTGCAGGGTGGTAATAGTGGCGGTATTGTTGGTATTGGTGTGTGGTAGTGGTGGTGTGGTGATAGTGGTGGTAGTGGTGGTTGTAGTGGTGGTAGTGGTAGTAGTGGTGGTGGTAGTGGTGGTAGTAGTGGTAGTGGTGGTGGTAGTGGTGGTGATAGTGGTGGCGCTAGTGGTGGCTGTAGTGGTGGTGATGGTAGTGGTAATAGTGGTGGTGGTAGTAGTGGTGGTGATGGTGGTAGTAGGTTAGTAGTGGTGGTAAAGGTAGTGGTGGTGGTAGTGGTGGTGGTAGTGCTGGTGGTGGTGACCCGCCGACCCCCACGGACCTAAACCGGACCCTCTTGTCCCCAGGGCCGCGAGTGCGTGCACACACACCCACATGACCACATGAGTGCGTGCACACCCACCCACATGACCACATGAATGCGTGCAGACACACCCATCTGATCACTTGGATACATGCACACAAATTTAGACACACACACACACACAAACACACTAAAAAAAACTTAAGACAAATTCACACATATGCACGCACACACGCTTTACATAAACTCACACCACAGCAATCACATATGTGTAATTTAGATACACTCACACAGATGTACACTCACACATGCACACACAATGTACACGCACGCACAAATACGTAAAATACATACACAGAAGTACACACACACACACACACACACATACACACACACAAGTTCGATTAGACATCAGAATGGAGATGATGTTCAAATGATGTCAATACAATGATAATGATGACAACTTGATAAGATTTACTTTACTCTACGAATGATGTCACTACAAAATTCCAATCAGTTTTATGGCGACGTCACAACAAACTACGATAGCAGTACGACATTCAAAACAGTGGTGGCGTAATGAGTTGGTTGATATCACGAGAATTTCCTGGACTTCCTGTAACTCTTTAAAGACAGCAACAGCCAAGGAGCTCTGTCAGTGGCGGGGAAACGACTCTGGCAGATGTTTGGGAAGATTCTATTTTTGATTTGTAATTTTTGTTCCGTTTTTCCTCCATATTTCTCTTTCTGGTCAACGTGGGATACCGCTAGAGACGTGTGCAGTGTCTGGTGTGAGTAGTCGGATGTGCGGCCTTCGGGTGCAGTCGGGTACCTTGAGGATGGCTTGTGTGGGAATCGGGTATCACTTGGTGGGCGTATGGTGATTGTGGTAGTGGTGGTTGTCATTTGGTGGGCGTGTGGTGATTGTGGTAGTGGTGGTTGTTATTTGGTGGGAGTGTGGTGATTGTGGTAGTGGTGGTTATCACTTGGTGGGCGTGTGGTGATCGTGGTAGTGGTGGTTGTCATTTGGTGGGCGTGTGGTGATTGTGGTAGTGGTGACTCATTTGGTGGGAGTGTGGTGATCGTGGTAGTGGTGGTTATCACTTGGTGGGCGTGTGGTGATTGTGGTAGTGGTGTTTGTCCTTTGGTGGGCGTGTGGTGATTGTGGTAGTGGTGTTTGTCCTTTGGTGGGCGTGTGGTGATTGTGGTAGTGGTGGTTATCACTTGGTGGGCGTGTGGTGATTGTGGTAGTGGTGTTTATCCTTTGGTGGGCGTGTGGTGATTGTGGTAGTGGTGGTTATCACTTGGTGGGCGTGTGGTGATCGTAGCAGCGTCGGATACCACTACGGACGCGTGTGTGGCATTCGAACATCATTTAAGTAGGCGTGGGGCGTTCGTGGACAGTGAATGATGACGTCATCTCTAAGACACAGCAGCCTGGGGCAGCTGGCGAGTGGACGACGCCATGGCCGGACACCCGACTAAAGGCCTCAAACAGGGATGCCAACACGACTACTTGAGTCTCTTAACAGTTGGCAAGCCTGGCAGTATGCACATATACGAATTCAAAAACTCCTATAAAACTAACGAAAAAAGAGTTATAGAATTGAAGTAATAAACACAAGTTGAAAATAAAGGTGTGTTTGAGGTTACAGTGGAGAGTTTGAGGTATTGCGTTGTTTTCCCCGTGAGCGTGGCAGAGGCATGGGAGGATAAATATTTTCACCGTTGCTACGATCAACACCTGTCATAGTGACGTCACGCTAGCCTCACCTGTAAGCGCTTCATTTTTTATCCCCAGGGTGAAATAGGACGTGCGGGGGAGGGGAGGGGGGGGAGGGGGGACATAATTGCGAAATTTATGAAGCTTTTCTCTCTCTTTCTCTCTTATCCTCTTCAACATAACATTTCCGATTAAACTTAATATCATCCTATCAAGCTTTCATGCTCTCGTGTTGTCAAAAGTTATTTATAAACAATGAATGAAAGAATGTAAAAAAAAAACTAATGAAATAAAAGACGAAAATAACTGAGATGCTGTGAGAGAATTTAATATAATGTTGTCATAATCTTGTCTGTTTTAACTCATAAATTACCTTCGTCTTCACAACACGTCTTCCATCTATAGGTACAAAAAAAAACCTCCTCAAGTCGTCCTTCATACTACGTAAAAAAATTATTATTATTATTATTATATACTACGACCATAAGACAATAACAAGTTGCCTTCAACATAGTATTTTTTTTGCATTTCATAGTTTGAATAGTCATATATATATATATATATATATATATATATATATATATATATATATATATATATATATATATATATATATATATATATATATATATATATATATATATATATGGAAGAAGAAGAAGAGGAAGAAAGAGGTGGAAGATGCCTCGAAAAACGGCGATGACGTCACCTATTTACATAAGTGACGTCATATATTAACATAAATGAAAGCTGTGTTGAACCTCGGGATAAGATCACTCACTGTATGACGCCGGGAAGCTACTGCACCCCACCACCCCCTCCCCCACAGCCCAACCCCCTCTACACTCCCACCCCTCTACACCCCAACCCCCACACCCACACCCCCTACCCTTTACACCCCCTCCTTAACATCCCCACCCCTCTACACCCTTTCCCCATACCCACACCCCTTTACACCTCCTTAACATCCCCACCCCCTACACCCCTCCCCACACTCCAACCCTCTACACCCCCACCCCTACACCCCAACCCCCACACCCTCCACCACCATACTCCCCATCCACCACTCAGGAGTTTGGGTAATGTGGCATGATAGTACAGGAATTTTTGTGCGTGGCCGACACACACACACACACACACACACACACACACACACACACACACACACCTCCCCAGCATGACACACACAAACACCTCCCCAGCATGACACACAAACACCTCCCCAGCATGACACAAAACACCTCCCCAGCATGACACACACAAACACCTCCCCAGCATGACACACAAACACCTCCCCAGCATGCCTACAAACACCTCCCAGCATGACACACAAACACCTCCCCAGCATAGCATAGCATGACACACAAACACCTCCCCAGCATGACACACAAACACCTCCCCAGCATGACACACAAACACCCCTAGCATGACACACAAACACCTCCCAAGCATGACACACAAACACCTCCCCAGCATGACACACAAACATCTCCCCAGCATGACACACAAACACCTCCCCAGCATGACACACAAACACCTCCCCAGCATGACACACAAACACCTCCCCAGCATGACACACAAACACCTCCCCAGCATGACACACAAACACTCCTAGCATGACACACAAACACCTCAGCCAGAATAATAATGTTTGTAGATCATGACAAGAAGACAATCATGTGCTGTGTCCTAACAAGATAACATCGTCTGACACCTCGACTGAAATAACCTGTCCTTCACATGATGAGAATTACGTCACCACTCAGCCCGTTTACTGCAGAAGCAACAACAGGATTTATGGAACATTTACAGCCAGTTTGTGTGGGAGGGAAGGTGTGTCACGGAGCCATGTCGTTTTAGTAGGGATTAAACTGGCTTGGTAAGGATCGTGTGCTCGAGATAAAACTAGGATGAGTGTTAAACCAACGGGTAATAGCTGGGGTTAACGAGCATTTCTCAAATAGGCAAATTAAGGTTTTCTATCACGGATTTTACAATGTGGTAAAATCACTATTACTCTATCCTGATCATGTATATCCAAGACTGTCATCCTCCAAGAGTGTCATCCTCCAAAGACTGTTATTCTCCAAGACTGTCATCCTCCAAATCTGTCATCCTCTAAGACTGTCATCCTCCAAAACTGTCATCCTCCAAGACTGTCATCCTCCAAGACTGTCATCCTCCAAGACTGCCATCCTCTAAGACTGCCATCCTCTAAGACTGTCATCCTCCAAGACTATCATCCTCCAAGACTGTCTACTTTTCATCTAAGGCCGGACAAGCTGTACAAGGTGTTAGAATAATCTAGCAGACGTAATGAAAGAGCTGTAAAACTTATCTCGGTATAAAGCCAAACGAGGAATACAAATTCATCCTTCCCTTGTTCTTACCTGAGGATGACCCAAGTGTATGAAGTGTGAATAACAATGACGATATTATCAACAAAAATATTGTTTGAAATGAATAAACTAATAAGATATTCCTCTGTTTATTTCCTTGTCCTTTTCTTCATTAAGATAAAACAGTAACGTAAAGAAGGGAGATAACAACGGGTAATAATTTGAATATTCAGAAAGGTTTACTAACTCATTTTTTTTCTCCCCGTCAGGATGAACCAGCTGTGTAAGGTGTGTGGGGAGCCGGCCGCCGGCTTCCACTTCGGCGCCTTCACCTGCGAGGGCTGCAAGGTGAGTCCCGCCTCCTCCACGCTCACCTGCCACTACAGTCCGTCTCAGTCCATCTATACTAAAATAGTGTTCCTGGCCAGACGTTTTTTTTTTCTTGCTGTTTCATCTTCAGTTTTTCATCTATTCTTACCTTATTTTGTCTAATTTATTTATTTATCTATTAATCGATTTACAGTTTTTATTGTCTCATAGTTTACATTCTTTGGTGTAGAAATATTTTGCCGTTTTACAAGATGCTCTCACTAACGATTGGTTGCATATAAATTCTGGTTGACGGAAACATGCGGCGGAGTGTAATAGCGTCTTGGCTGTCATCCTCAAGTGTATACCAGAACCGTGACGCAAGACAGTCTTCAGCGTGGAATAAGGGAGAACATTCCTTGAGTTCTTATTGAGTTAGTGAGACTGTAGCCAACAAGAGGAACACTTAAGTGACCATTCCGTGCACAAAAGGAGAAATTGCTTTGCTTAAATTTTGTTGAGAGTTGTTGTCTAGTCCGTACTGTATGTCTAGTCTAGTGCTTAAAGACCTTAGTTAGTTGTTTAAAGGAAGATAAGTACGAGTATATAAACAACAACATCACCTGTGTGTGTGTGTGTGTGTGTGTGTGTGTGTGTGTGTGTGTGTGTGTGTGTGTTGTGCTGGTTGTCTGTTAGAGGCTAAGTTGTGGTTTGTGCAGACCAAAGATTGCATAAATTTACTAAAAGACTGAATGTCTTTCCCAAAGAGTGACTGTGCCTCAGCGAAATTTGACTGTCCGCACAAAAAGACTGACTGACTTACGGAATGACTGGTCCTACCCACAAAAGACTGGTCATTACATAAAAAAAAAAATGACTGACCCCAAGCAAACTGACTGACTGACTTGCTGACTGACTTACTAACTGACCACAAAAAAGAACTCTACGAACGCTCGTGAGAGAGTTGAGATGAGAACAACCACAGTCAAGAAGGCAAAAGTAGACTGTGGCGACCAGTAGACTGTAGAAAGACCTACACGGTTACCAAAAGACTGTTTATATTCAGTCAGGGAGGGAGGGATGAGGTTCTTATAAGACCTCTAGAGTGAAAGTGGTAGTCTTTGTGCGAGTGATTCATCATTTTATTTCCAAACACTCACACACTGTAGACTGACTGTAAAGTGGTGTTTTTTTATAGACAGTGATGGCGGTAATATTGGACAGTTAGTTCTGGAATATTATTGTTTTTTTTTATTAAATTTGGTAATATATCTTTGTTTATAATTAAATACAGGTGATGTATTTTCTTTCAATAAATACACAAACAAGGACTCAGTTTAGAATGAAATAACTAAAGCCTTTCTTTGTAGTGAATATGATCCATGATATTTCTTTAAAAAAAAAAAAAAAAAAAAGTCACCCACACACCAAAAGAAGACTTCATTTAAAATAATATAAACTACAGCTTTTCTTTCATAAAAAAAATCGTATAAAAACACAAAACCCATTAGAGTTTCTTTCAATAACCAACTCCACTTCCCTTCTCCTCCCCCCCAAAAAGAAGATAAAAATAGCCTGGGCAGTTGATTAACTTATACAGACGGAGAAAAAAAAACCAAAAAACAAAATACACGATGAGAAAATAGAAGTTCGGGTGAGTCTGTACTGAATGACAGTCTTTAGAGGGAACGAACACAGTCGGGTTCGATAAGACGAGGTATAATTAAAGGTGTCTTGGACGAGGCAATCGGACACTTCTGGTGAACCCTTCCCACGCCAGGTGAGGGCAGGTCACCTGGGGGTCATCCGGGTCATCTTACTCCTACCAACACACAAGGTTAAGCTCTCTTTAAATCTTAAACTCTGATCAGGGAAGTCGCCGGTGAAATCTTGACAATTTCTAAACATTTTTGTACGAAGATTCTGCTGTGTAGCCATAGAGAGATGGTGTTATGCTGGGCTTAGTTCTGTATAGGTCAGATATGTTTCGTGTGGGACGGAATTACGGGGACATATAAGATAGAAAATGTTTACTTTATGATATATATGTTATGAGATGTTTTTTTTTTTTTATCATAAAGTTGTGATGGATGATGAAGATGACAGACACAAGGAGATCTTCCACCACAGCCACACATTCTTCATCCGCTGTTTCATGTAATACTTGTTTCAAAATAATCGAGTGTTATAGAGATGCCATGATCATAGTGAGTCTGATACTGAGATGTTGTGGTCAAAAGGTATAACGTAATGCCTGAGACAAACAGCTGTGTAATACTTGATGAACAACTATTATTTTCCCATAGACAACAGTGTGTATAAAGACGCTCCAGACAACAGCAACACCAACGTGAATCTGACTCGAAGAAATGTTAAGTCTTGTAAGGGAGAAGAATACCAATTTACGGATTTTAAGAGATACCCGTATTCCTTAAAGTGAAAGATATACTTAACGAGTTATATGTACAGGAGAAGACGCGTGCAAGGAGAAAGGTCTTCTGTCGTGAGGAGTGAGGGATGTATCTACAGATGGTTAAGGTACGGGGGGAGGGTCATGTGAATGGTGTTCCATCAATGTGTCGATTTCAAGAGTGTAGAGTAGTGGGAGAGAGTGTTTAAGTTGGGGTAGGAGTGAGAGGATGGATTTCACTGTTGCAATGACCATTAAAGCGACGCCAGAGAGAAAATAAAGGGAGGAAGTGAACAACACCGAGGGAGAGAAGTAGGGAAGGAGAGAGGGAGACAGGCTATATGTGAGGGTTGGATCTCTGATAAGGTGTATGGCTTTAACACTGAGATTTTGTCGAGGACGGCTCAGGAGGATTTGTATGCACCCGACTTTCCCAACCAAATGTGAGAGCAGTATACCATGTGAGGGCAGACGTGGACCTCTGTAAAGCCGAGCGAGTACCAGAGAGGAAGGGAAACGAAGACTCGTATTTTAAAAGCATTTTTTTTTTTTTGCAAGTTCAGGGATTTGTTGATTCTCAGAGATTGTGACTCGTGGTTAGTTTGAGAATCTTGATGTGGGAAGAACGTGTAATATGGGTGTTGGTGAAGAGGGTTTAGTGAGAACTTTCTTGTCTGGTGAGAGAAGATTCGTGCGTGAATGTTGGGAGTCTAAAATGTTACAAGGTTAACGTCTCTCTAGTTGCCAATGATAGTGAAACAAAAACTGATTATGGTAGTGATGTTTTCGACCAGTGTTTTTCAGACTTTTGCTGAGTTAGTGTGCATCCTTCTAAGGGAAGGAGAACAAAATAAAATGGAGTATCAAAACAAATTTAGTGGAGAATTCAGTGCATTTTTAATCCCAAATATAATCAAGTGGCTTACAAAATAATGAGCTTGCTGATTGGCCAACTGGTTTGCCGTTGACCAATTAGTGAGTTATCTGAAGATCAAAATGGATTCAGAAAGGGAAAAGGAATAAAAGACGCTTAATTTCCTTTGAGAAATTTGATTGAAAGGGATAAGAGGTTCAAAGGAATATATATATATATATATATATATATATATATATATATATATATATATATATATATATATATATATATATATATATATATATATATATATATATATATATATATATATATATATATTTATTTATATATATATATATATATATATATATATATATTTATATACACACATATATATATATATATATATATATATATATATATATATATATATATATATATATATATATATATATATATATATATATATATATATATATATATATATATATATATATATATATACCCTTCAGTGTTGGAGATCACCCATAAAAAATAATAATTTTTCTCCATTCCGTTGAAAAAAAACAATAGTCCTTTGCATTGCTATGTCTTACCGGGTAGAGGGAGGGGGAGGGGTTAGATTATGAGGTGGAAAGGGAGGTGAGAGGTGGGGAGAGGGATGAGAGGTGGGAAGTGGGGAGATGGATGCTGAGTTCCCATAAGAGAACGAAGATTGCTACTCACACACACACACACACACACACACACACACACACACACACACACACACACACACACACAGAAGAGAGATGAAAAACTGTTGTACGAATTTGGTCAACCAGGAACACACAGAAGAGCTGGCTCACTTAAGTCAATCAGTGATGGTTTGTCGGAGTTATTCTGTAAACCTGTGGATCTCTTTCAATTGGGTCTTTCTTCCTTCCTTCCTTCACTAATTCCATCCTTCCTTTACCCTTCCTTCCACCCTTCCTTCCTTCCTCTCCCATCCCCCCTTTTTCCTTATTCTCTCCCTCTTCCCTTCCCCATCCTCCTCTTCATCCTTCTTTCTCTTCCCCTTTCTCCTCCATTTTCCGATCCTCTTACTCCCTTCCTTCTCCTTTCCTTCGTTTTCAAGCCAGAAATTGCAGCATGTGTGTGTGTGTGTGTGTGTGTGTGTGTGTGTGTGTGTGTGTGTGTGTGTGTGTGTGTGTGTGTGTGTGTGGAGAGAGAGAGAGAGAGAGAGAGAGAGAGAGAGAGAGAGAGAGAGAGAGAGAGAGAGAGACACTCCCGCGAAAAAGAAAATGAAAGAATCTGTCTAAAATACGAAATTAAAATTGGAAAAAAATTCTAAAATGATATATACTTGACAAAGTAAACACCAGGGCCAGCGATTTGTTCTCCGGGGAGTGGGTGAAGGATGGTAGAATAAACTAGAGGAAATATATGAAGTGGATGAGACAGAAGAACAAGAATAATCACAGTACTGTATTAATGAAATTTGAAAGCCAGAAACTGTAAACACAAAAACAACGAAGTGACAAATCTATCTATCTATCTATCTATCTGTGTCTTTATGTATGTATGTATGTATGTATGGTTGTATGTATGTATGTATGTATGTATGTATGTCTGTCTAACTTTATGTACGTAGGTAAGTATATACATGAATGTAAGGAATTATTGTGAAAGACAAAGTTTCATTGGTTCCCAGGGCGATATAACAGAGGAAACTTATTAGGATGAGAGAGAGAGAGAGAGAGAGAGAGAGAGAGAGAGAGAGAGAGAGAGAGA